GATCCAAGGTTATTAGGGTTGCATGTACACTTAGGAAGTGTTAGAATGCTCAAAACCCATCACTTTTTCCACGAGGAGCTGAATTTTGGATGTTACCGATAAAGGAGCCGAAAATGACGAGTGGTTGGAAGAGGAAGAAGATGATGACAATGTGGTGGATCTTCCTGAAACCCTTCTAAGATTGGTGACTTGTGTTTAGATTATGAACATCATCACCACCACAACCACCATGATCAGATAACATCTGTAGGTTGTGTGTGTGTGTGTTTTTTTTCTTGAGTGTGTGTTAGAGAGAGAGAGAAGGGTTGTGTGTGGGGTTTTTTGTTTACTTTTTCTTTACCGGAGCGAGAGAGAGAGAGGCGGACCTATTTATTTTTAATATTTATTAAATGTAAAAAATTATGAAAAAAAGAAGAAGGGTATTATAGTCTTTTCAATTTGAGGAGAGAGTAAAAACGCAAAGAAACTTGTTGAAAAATAACCACCAATCCAAAAGTTTAATGGTTTGAAAATCTTTCCTGAAAAAATGCATACCGTGATAACCATTTTTTTTATTTTTGTCTATGTAAAATTATATAAAATGACAATCGTATAAAAAATATAAATATATAAATATATTTTTAAGGACATTTATGAAAATTGATTCTAAAAGTTCAATAGTTTTTTATTTAACGTTTCATAAAATAGCTTTTAGTTTTAGAGTTTTTTTTTATGAAGTTAAATGTTAAAAGCTGATACTCTCAAACATGTATATTTTTTGTTTATATCGAATTTTTGTTAAAAAGATAAAAGTTAAAAATGACTAAATGCTCTAAATTTAAAGTTCTTATGCAATGGCTTTTTTTTATACAGTCGTTTGTTGATATAAAACATTGCTATCAAGATTACACGCAAGTTAAAAATGGTTTTTTTTTAATTTTTTTTAATGCTATATGAAATAGCTTTTAGCTTTAAATTTTTTTGTATAAAGTTAAAAGTTAAACGCTAATATTTTCAAACATTTTTTTTTGTTTATATCGAATTTTTGTTAAAAAGGTAAAAGTTAAAAACGGCTAAATGCTCTAAATTTTAAGTTCTTACGCTAGAATCGTTTGTTGATATATGACATAACTATCATGATTACACGTAAGATGGATTATTTAAAATGTGTTTAATTTCTTAAAGATATAAAAAACTAAAAATAAAATAGAATATATTCGTAATCCTAAATATAAATGGCCTAATTTCAATTTAACGTTCAATTTAACGTTCAGTAGTAAAGATATTAATATAGAGAAATATGTGTAACTCCTAATTTTTGCTAATATCTACATTTTAAATTGAATTAAAAATCATGTTGTTTTTGTAAATTTGTAATCCTTAATTATTTAGTTTTTTTAGAGGTCATTAATTAAAAATTCATAGTTTTGTAGATAAAAGTAACAGCATAAAAAGTTAAAAACGACGTACAATAACAATGGCAGGGCGTCAGAGTGCAGAGTGCACGCCATTTGAATATACACTGTTCATCTTTACCAACTAAACCGACATTCAAGCAAACCGATAAATTGGATAAATTCTTTCATCCCAAATATATTGACACATTTGTACGTATATCACCTCAAATTTCTCTCTCAGATCATCAATGGAGGCAAGGATTTTGTTTCTCTATAACTGTCATGTATGTATTTTTGGTTTCATCAACAACAAGCTAAAGATGCTACTTGAATTTTGCAGAGAATCAAATTTGGATGCAATGTGTTGTTATTCGCAACTTTCTTCGTCGCAGTTTTCGTGATCACCTACGCTGCAGCACTCAAGGTCGATTTTCGAATTGGTGAATGTTTTGGAAGGTATTGTTTATGGCTAATTAAGTTGAACTGATTTGATCTTTGGATAATCTATCAGGAAGGACAAACCTGCGTAAATAATCAAAACTGTGACTCAGGGTTACATTGTGAGGCTTGCGTCGCTGACGGAAATGTTCGTCCTCGGTGTACTCGCGTTCAGCCTCTCAGTCCTTTTTCTAAGGTATATATTAGTATGTTATGTGTGTGAAAATCATTGTGAATGTGTGTTTGTTTGATGTGATTAAGTGTGATTACAGGCGAAAGGATTGCCATTCAATCGATACTCATGGTTAACGACGCACAATTCCTTTGCTAGATTGGGAGAAACGTCAGTTACAGGCTCTGTTGTTCTAGCTCCGACGAATCAGCAGGATTCTGTTAGTTCTCAGCTCGATGTAAGCTTCTCTCTCTTTTCTCTTCAACTGATGGTAGTAATTCTAGGCAGAAATAAAGCTTTGTTGTTTGAGTAATTTGATTTTAAGCTTGTTTAAGTTATATTGTTTAGGGATTTAACGATCTTTTATGACTATCATGTATTTTTTGTACGGTTCTTAATTGATTCAATATCAATTTAGGGCTTACAAACGAATCATTTATCATATTCACAGATATAACCGATATAGTTAGGTGATGTGGGGTATGAACAATTTAAACCCAAAAAAGTGTTTCCTTTCTCATTGATTATAGTATGTAACCTACCAACCACATGGAAGTATAATGAAGGAAGGTATATATGCCTTCAAAGGTTTAGATAGAGTGCATATAATAATAACATAATCTCTCATGCTTGTCTTTGTTTAATAATTATGCAGTTGTGCTAACCCTCATGGAGACTAACATGGGTAAAGTAGTTAAATAATCTCAAATAAAACATAGTGCTCATTAATCATTATAATATGGTTTCCCTATTGGAAAATGAAGTCAGTTTTATGTTTGACTTAATTAAAGAATGACATAATACATTATTTTTTTTAACAAACCTGTTAAAAAATAAAAAGCCCTTTAATAATTATCTACTTACTTTCTTTACAGAATGGTGTGAGAGGGTTGATGCTTGATATGTATGACTTTGAGAATGACATTTGGTTATGTCATTCCTTTGGTGGAAAATGCTTCAATTACACAGCTTTTGTAAGTATTTATTTAACAACTTACCTAATTTCTAACATGTCAAAAACAATTTAACTTAAATAAGTGACCTTTTGTATTATTGTATATCATCAGCAACCTGCCATTAACGTTCTGAAAGAGATTCGAGAGTTCTTGGAAAAGAATCCTACTGAAATTGTGACTATAATCATTGAAGATTATGTAACCTCTCAAAATGGTCTAACTGATGTCTTCAACAATGCTGGTTTGAGAAAATTCTGGTTTCCTGTAGCTCGAATGCCTAGCAATGGTGGTGATTGGCCCGCAGTTGACTTTATGGTCAAACAAAATTTCCGTTTAGTGGTTTTCACTTCCAAATCTTCTAAAGAACGTACAGAAGGAATTGCATATCAATGGAAATACATGGTTGAGAACCAATGTGAGTTTAAAACATCTCCATTTCCTATTTGTTTTAGAATCATAGAAGGGTAAAACGGTCATTTCCTCTCATTCATTTGGTCCAAAGAAACATCCTTTGTTCATCCTGACTTCATATATTCAGACACCAACTTAACTCTTGTGAAAATTGATAAAGTATTATGAACTTTGTTTTTTTTTAAATGTAAGGGTAAAATGGTCATTTAGTCTTATTCAGACGGTTTATTCATTCTATAAAGGATACAAAACAAACCTTATGTAATATGTATACAACGGGATAGAAAATAAAGTGGTGTACTATGTATAAACAAAGATTGTGTCATGTTTTTGAACTCGATGAAAGTAAATGACCATTTTACCCCTCAGTTAATGGACTTTGAAATTGCAGATGGAACAGATGGGATGAAAAGTGGTTTATGCCCTAATCGAGCAGAATCCCCTACCATGAACACTACATCAAGGTCACTCGTTTTAATGAACTATTTTCCTGATACACCCGATTTTACCCAAGCTTGCAAAGAAAATTCAGCCCCATTAATAAACATGATGAACACATGCCATGATCTAGACCATAAAAGGTGGCCTAATTTCATTGCTGTTGACTTCTACAAGGTATTCTCAATATTTTCCAAATATACCCTTATAATGTTGGTTTTAGTTATATAGCTGAATGTCCTTTTATGTGATTTTACATTTTCCATCTAGTTTTTGCAAACGTTATTACAGCTTAGCTTATTAGATAGTGTGCCAAACACACTTTAATCTTAAAAGAGTAAATTACAAAAGTGCCCCCGTTCTTTTTTATTTTAACTGTGTTTAGTCTAAAGTTGGTTTTATTTTTAGATTTGGTCCTTGTTTCGAGGTTTCACATGGGTTTTGTCCTAAAAGAAGGACCAAAATTGATACAAAACCTAAAAGTAGGGATCAAAGTTGAAAAAAAAATCACTTTTGGAGTAAACAGGGTAAATTCAGAAAGCATAGGGACCGTTTTTGTATTTTTACTTTTTATCTAGAGTAAATTGTAAAACATGGTTCTTGTGCTTTTTGAGATTTACTGTGTTTAGTCCTTTATTTCAAGGTTTTATATTAATTTTTGTAACTAGAAACTTTGAAATAAGGACTAAATTGACATGAAAACTTAAAACAAGAACCAAAATCAAATAGAAACCTTGAAATGAGTACCAAATTTGCAAAATATTTCAACTTTTAGACTAAACATGATAAGAATGACCATTTCTGTAAATTATTTTTAATTCAAGGTTCAATTATAAAAATGGTCCCTCTACTTTCTGAATTTTACCATGTTTAGTCTAGGATTGGAATGTTTTCCATTTTGACCCTTATTTTATTGTTTCCTATCAGTTTTGGTCCCTGAAAAAAAGTACTAAAGTTGATTTGAAACCTTAAAAGAGGGCCAGCATCAGAAAGCCATGTGGACAAAAATAGATATAAAACCATAAAATAAGGACCACAATTGAAAAATATTTCAATTTGTGACCAAACACTTTAAAATGACATATTTTGTGACTCACTTTAAAATTTAAATCGAAGGGTAAAATACAAAAATGGTCCCTGTCTTTTTCTGACTTTTACAATGTTTAGTCCAAAGCTGAAACATATTTTGAGTTTTGGTCCATGGAACCTTGAAATAAGGACCAAAATTGAAAAAAAAATCTCAATTTATTACTAAACACAATAAAAACCAGAATGCATAGGGACCATTTTTGTAATTCTTTTAAATATACATGACACATGTGATAAAAAAAATGTAAATTTTTTTTCAGAGGAGCAATGGCGGGGGTGCACCTGCGGCAGTAGATATGGCTAACGGGCAGTTAGTTTGTGGTTGTAACAGTATTTCAGCATGCAGGGTAATCACTAATCACTTTCAAACTTTATTTTTAATTTTTTTTTTAAATTTAAATAACTTAAAAAATTTAATTATTGTGCAGCCAAATATGACATTTGGAGCATGTAATATCCCGGAGGCGGAGGTTGCTCCGGTCACAACTAAAGGAGGGAAAAGCACGGCGGTCAAGGGTGGTCAACCCTGGCTGTTTCTTATATGTTTGGTGGTGTTCACTTTGACTTTGTCTTTGTAAAGGTAGTTAAAGCTTTAGAAATATTACACGTCAGCAACTTGCCTACTTTTTCGTATGTCGTTTTAACTGCTTTTTAAACACACAAAATTGAATTAGTGATTGAATGGCATGTGATTAGCGAATTAGTGAATTGTGAAGTGGGTTTTTTTTTTTTTTTTTTCTTAAAGTTTATAATGTTTTATTATTGTAAATTATTAATTTAAATTTTATATTTAGTTGACATATATTAATTTCTTCTAGCATTTACGTGAAAAGATTGACGTGTTTTGAGATGGTAAGAATTACTTTTGTTAAATAAGAAGGATGATGGAAATACAAAGATGATCGAGTGATTAGATAGAAACCAGCTATGAATAAAACATGCGCAAATGCTAAGTATAAATAACAATGAAGTCGTAATTTACCACACATGTAAATCTAAAGTCAAATACTACTTAAAAAATGGTTAAACAATGTTTTGTTTTACTTGATAAATGACAATTTTGTCATTTTGTATGGAAATGATGGTAAATAAAAAATATATATTTATTTAAAAAATGTGGAAGTATGTAATTATAAATGACCATATAAACGTTAATAATTTAAATTAAACATAATTTTTAATTAAACATCCATTATATATTTGATATAGGATAAAAAGTTAAAATTTTATATTATAAAAAGTTCTCATAAATTCAAAAGAAAGAAAAAAAATTGATGTTATAAAACCTTAATCTAATAACTACAAAGGAAATCTTTACATGTGTGATGATAAAGAGAGTTGTAAACGAACCGAACGAACACGGACAAGAGTTTATTCATATTTGTTCGTTTAAGTTAGCCGAACAAATGAACGAACACGAACGGATAAACGAATAGATTTTCTTGTTCATGTTCGTTCATTTATGTTCATGAACATGCTAAACGAACATAAATGAATAAAGATAAACAAACACAATTGAACATATATGAACATAAACGAACATATAATATTGTAATTATAAAAAACAATTAGACATATATTAACATAAATAAACTTAAACGAACGAACATAAACAAACGTAAAATAACAACATAAACGAAATGAACATAAATGAATAAATGAGATCATTGTTCATGTTCGTTCATTTAACTAAACAAACAAAAATTTGTGTTAATGTTCGTTTATTTATTAAATAAACGAACATAAACGAACTTCTCGCCAAACGGTTCACGAACGGTTCGCCGAACGTTCAATTCGTTTACAACCATAAAAGTCAGTGGTACCTATTTTTTAAGGTATTTCTTGGACAGGAGACCACACCATATTGGTATCGGTTTCGGGGTAAATTGGGAAACACCGGTAAGGACCAAATCGTAAAATATAAGTTTTAGAGCCAAACGTGCAACTAAAATGGTGATGTTAAACAAAAGGGAAAAATGCTACAAAAGTCACTAAGTTTATACGAAATTCGATTTTGACACTGCGTTATTTTTTTGTCTCAAATTAGACACTAAGTTCAATCTGTTATAATTTTGACCACTTTAGCGGTAAATCCGGTTGAATGATGACGTGCCAGTTTTGATGACTTGACATGCTGACGTGTAAAAATTGAAAAAATATATATATCACAAAAGACATTACATTTTCATTTTTTTCACTTTTGACGTTTTCATATTTTTACATTAAAATTTGAAATTTAGTATGCTAGAATAATTAAATTAAATTAAATTGAACTTAATGCAAAAATTGAACTTGGGGCAAATTGGTCAAGAAATGTAAAACTAATTTCTCTTGGTCATTTAATTAAATTTATGTTGGACCATACTCTTTATGTAGTTATTGACAGAAGTAAATAAATTTAGAATGAATATAATGTAAATCAAAAAGTATATTTATGTAACACTGTAAATTTTCAAACAAATTTTTCATTTTAAAATCACATACTTCTCATAACACATCTCACAAAAATCTCATTTATTCAATTTACAAAACGCAACTCCATAATTATTTGATTAATAATCCAGGATCCTCAAAACATAACTCTTTCTCTGGTGTGTACAATCAAGTCGCTGCCTTCCCGCGATCCTGAGAAGAACCTGAAACACATATCACATAACACAGTAAGCACGAAGCTTAGTGAGTTCCCCAAAATACCACACATGTCTCATTAGCCTCTCATGGCTATACTCAGATAAGACCCTCCGGTCAATGTGTCTCAGTGGGACCCTCTGGTCCCACAACTCGGGTGGACCCTCCGGTCCTAACTCAGAAAGCTCAGAATAATACACAACATAAATCACAAAAACATAATGCAGGATATCAAAATACTCAATATAAGCACATCAGACCCTCCGGCCACACAAATGTTACCACTCTAGGTAAAGTATAGTGATAAGACTCACCTCGGATGATGAACAGCTCCTATAGATGCTACTGCTCCACACCGGCCTCTAACACTGGACCAAAATCCACAATTACCCAATTAAGATCTAAATCCAAACCCTCACTCTTTAGGTCCGAAGGTAGTCCACTAACTAGCCCATCAATAACCTAAAACTCATTGGGCCCACCAAGGTCCAATAATGAATGGG